ATTACTTTAGGTGGAGAATAACGAACAAATTAAGAACTCGTTTTGGCAGGTATCAAACTTACATTTTAGTTCGACATTTTGATTACAGTCACGCGCACGTATCAAACTGGATTATCATGAATAATGTTATTTACAGTATGTTATTATTTTAGTATATTGTTGTTGCATTAGAAGTCGAAGTACGTAATTACCATTAAGAAGTTTCGTCCATTTTGAAATTAAATGAAGTATTTTTAGTGAACGATTTAGAGTTAAAAGCTAAAAGTGCCCGTGTGTGGATACACATCCACACACGGGCTCTTTTAGCAGCGATGCAAACGTGCGTTCGTGAAACGCGCAATTGCATCGCTGTACTTGCGATTTATAGGCGATTGCATCGAAGCAAACGCGCGAATGCATCGATACAAACGCGCGACTGCATCGATAGAAAACGTGCGATTGCATCGATGCAACCGCCTATAAATCCCACGTGCAGTCGCTCGCGGTTACCTATCAGTAGTCCGAAATGACAACTTTCAGAAAAAACGTTTGCTCGAAATTTCATAACCTCGAAAGTAATTTTGAGAGGAAAATGTTTTTTCTTTTAAACCTAACTTAACCTAACCTAACCGAACATAATCGTGTCTTTGCGATAAACATTCAACATATCCTGAAAGAACAACTGTTTCGTTATAATTCGGTTTTCGGTGTAATGAAAATTCGAACAAACGTTATTTCGGACAAAAAAATTTTCGACTTTGTGATAGGTTACCGTCCCTCGCATCGCGTTTGCATCGCTAATCGCGCGCGTGTGTAAACGTAGACGATTAGCGACTGCGTCGCTTCTGCATCGAGTTGCATCGCTGCTATAAGTCGCCGTGTGTAACCGATCTTAGGTTATTAACATTTGTCACGTGAAATATTAAGTTTCATATTTTAAATTTTTGGCGTGATTCTTTTGTTTCGTTTTGTTTAGTTCTGCCAGTGAGCATAGTCCTGCATTCACTTTGAAAACAAGCATGAGTTTTTGATACGAGTGCCGACTACGTGGCACTAATGCAACGCAAACAACGCGAAACATTAAATATGATTTGCGAACTATTGTTGGAGCAATCCGACGTAAACTACGGAGGAATTAGCAACATAGTTTGATATAGTTATAATCACAAATGTCATGGTTAGCTTAAAAACGTGTAATTACCTTTTGTATCTTTATAATATTATTAGCATTTTAAAATACAATAACTTGTGTGTTTTGTACCGAATTATAATAAAAAAGATTTTCCATAAAAATGTTCGATTGTGTAGTACTTAATTGTTAAGTTTCGTTACGTAACATTTATTGTCATGTCAATTTGCTATTATAGTTTTCATATTTAATTAGATAAAAGATTGCAGCTGGAAACGAGAAACGGGAAAGATATTTTTGGGCGCGTGGCGATACTGGCGGCCCCATCGTTATCGGAAGCTAAGAATAATAAACATTTTATTGTCCTTAGATTGGAGATGTTTTCAAAAAGTCATGATTTATTTAAGAACTCGTAAAACAATTAACTTTGTATTTAATTAATCAATAACTTACGTTTTATACCAAATTACAATAAAAAGTTGTTTAGTTGATAACATGTCCGTTTTCATATTTTTAATTGATTGAACTGTTAGGTTAAAATTAGGTAAAATATTGTAGTTAATGCTAAAACTGAGAAACAGGAAAGAACAAAAACGTCGAGGTAATTAAAATATGTTTTGTACGTAATTAAGTCCTGAATTAAAAATCAAATAATCTGTGAATAAAATAAAATTTTAAATAAAAAATTTAAAATAATAAAAATTTTAAATAGTTTAAATAAAAGTAAAGTAAAACATTATTATTATTTGTACTCTAAGGGCTCATTCAGAGTGCAGGTGCGAGGAGCGGCGTCGGCTCGTGGGCGCGCGGGTCTTCTCTTTCACAGTGCCGAAGCGGCTACGAGCGGGTAGATCCACACGTTGAAATCGCAAACAGACGCTAGATGCTAGACCAAGCACTGTGAAAGGTACGGGCGGACCAAGCTAATTGAAATACCCACGCGACACGCGCCCACCTGCGCCCGCCGCTACTCTGAATATTGTGATGTAGAGTAACATTGTAAAAGTGAGCAATTAACATTTAAATAATTAGAACTAGGACATTTGATTTATTACACAATACAGATCCCTTTGCCCCAAAATAAATTTAAAATGGGCACACCGAACAACGTATCTAGCAGTGCCTCTTGTGACCGCTAGAGGCGCTGATGCCATACAAAATTGTGAAGCAATTTACGCGGTCGCTAGCGACAACTGTTACAGTAAACTCGTGGTAGATGCACTGATCGTCACCGCTACTTCTACTTAATAACGCTAAAGTGCATACTGCCGAACAAACCCTCTCTACACCCATTTAACTAGGATCCCAGCGACTACAGATTTGTCCACAATTTAGGTAATTATTTACAAGGAAAAGGAGCCGAAAATGAGTTCCAAGAATGTGTGGATTCCTGTTCCGCACTGTTCTACCGCAAGGGAATAAATGAACTGCCGGCAAGATTTTGATTACATAAATGTTATTTTAGATTTTCTAAACAGGGTAGCCAGGAAGTGACAGTCAAAACGAAATGAGGAGCTAGAGGGAAGTATTTCCACATGATTTGATTCTCTTCATTGGGGTCCGGAAATTGAAGGTACAAAAATTATTCAACATTCAAGGGTTTTTGGAAAAATCACTAAATGTTCCCAACAAAAATCGTAATTAAATATCCACAAGAAATGTTGAAGATTTTTTTACATTGAGCTAAAATTACAAAGTGTTGAATAACTTTTGAACCATCAATTTCCGGACCCCAATGAACAGAATCAAATTGATCGGAAATACTTCCCCCTACCCCTTCATTTCATTTTGACCATCACTTCCGGACCATCTTAGAACGGCATCATAGAACGGCAATTTCATACTTTTTAACCCGTATTGTATATTTTCTTTGATATAAAATTACATTATAAGTTACTACAGGTTCATAAAACATTTTTTTCGCTTTTAAAAAATATGACTATGACACAAAACTTATCAACACCAAAATATAATAACGTCAGTGATAAATGATAACAATACGAAGTTCAATTCGACAAATAGGCACGTAATTTGAATAAATGTAATTATGCTCAGAAAATAAGCCAAAATCGAAGTCACAAAGTCAATTTTTTTTTATACAAACCGATTACTAATTAGCTTAAGAACTAAGCCATGTAACATAAACCCTTTTTGGATTTACCGTACCGTCTTATTTTTACAACTGTTAATAAAATACTAATTGCTATGTTGTTAAGAGTTATTTTTCTACCACATTAATTTTTTTATATGGAATACACTTAAAATCCTATTTGTGCAGAATCTAGAGTCATGCGGTCTTTTGTGGTCTTTTGTTTTGTGGTCATCTTTATCTAACACGTAGTCTTCAATTTTTAAGCGACTTCAAAAAAGGAGGAGGTTCTCAATTCAACTGTATGTTCTTTCTTTTTCTTTTTTTTTTGTTTGTATGTTACGCGATAACTCCGGTATTTGTAACCGATTTTCAGGATTCTTTTTTTGTTGGAAAAGGTGTACTTCCATAGTGGTCCCATTTCATTTCGAAGAAAATCATCCACCTTTAAGGGTGGCTGTTCACGCATGAAGATTCATTTTTAAAAATAGTGCCTAACTTTAATTTAGAAGCAATTATTAATGGTTGATTTTGCTATTTCCCCAATTCAAGGCGTTTTTCTCGCAATATACTTTTAGTAGTGAGAACCGATTATGATTATCTCCAGTGTCAAGTCCTGTATAGTGGCGAACTAGGGGATATTTTTATAAAACTTAGCAAATAGACGTAATTCCAAGTACTTTTGAGGTCGGTTTTTTAGTACTCTGTACTGAGATTATGTAATATGACTTTTCAATTTTTAATGTAGGTTTTAAACTTAGGTAATGATAATCTTAATATTGTCATGACATTGAAAGGAGAGTGAACGCAGGGAATCAGGTGAATGATGCGTTGCGTACCTTCATGGGCAGCCGGAAAGTGTCAAAAACCTACCATGACCAAATTGAGGCCATCCTAAAAAAGAGCCAGGTCAAGAGTACCTTTAGCCGACGAGCGTGTATGAAAGCACTGACCCGTGTTGATGACGCGAAAGATGTGTGTCAGAACCGTAGCAAGTGGAAGACTGTTGTCTTTGCCTACCCCAATGAGAAAAAGAAGTATATGTACGTATATGTAATATAGTCGTAGACGTTCGTTGGCAAATTAAAATAGTCATTAAACAATTGAACCCATAAACATGTTCCTGCTGATAGCGGGGGTCCTTTAGGGAGATGATCACACGTAATTCGCAACGCTAACACAACGTTATTCACGTGCTATGAAAGTTTGTTAATTTTCGATTACTTATTGAACTGATTTAAGGTCAAGTTATTACGTCCCACAGTTGGCAACTTGCATTATTAAGGAATAGTATAGTAAATGTATTTACACTTTTGGCAATTTCCATCAGGACGATCATCTACTGTTTGCCGTGTACAAAATGTAATGCAAGAAAATATAAAATACCGATTTATAATTATATATCTGTACAATTATATGCAGATTTTTAAAAGTATATACACTTTTGCCCTTTACTGCACTTAAACTATGTATATTAATACTTCATGTTCCTTTGGCGAAAGTGAACTATAGACGAACTTATTTCTTCAATTGAGCAAGTGAGTGAATGGCGAAGCAGCACGATTTTGACTTTTTCAATACTTCTTGAGATCAACTTAAACGACTACTCTGTGCTCAGATTTTTATTCTTTGCCTCATTAGATAATCCAAGTAAGAATTTCTCTTATGGTTATTTTTTCTTCTGAGTGATCACACAGCTATAGCATATAGCGTTGTATAGCATAATTATCTGCTATACAACGCTATATCAAAACAGTTACACGTTACAAGTTCTATAACAGTGCTCTTTTAATTTGTTCGCAGTTTCTTGCGTTACTGGAGCGTAACCTGATAGCAAATTCAACGCTGCAGCTCCGACAGATGACACTGTTCGCGCCCACCAACCAGGCCTTCCAGAGATATAATGGAGAAATGGATGACAACCTCGTCCTTTATCATATAGGTGAGTGACATTACCATTATAACTGACAACTATCCCAAACGTAGGCACATATCTATACACATCTACATTTTCTCGAAGTGAAGGGCGTAAGTGTCATATTATCTAGCAACAAGTTTGATGGGCTAAATACTAACATTATTTGTAAATAAAAAAAATATTTTTTTGGTTTGTTTCGTGGTTTGTTTAGTAGCAATACAGCTCCTTGTGAAAGAGTTCGTCCAGGGAAGTACTGCCACCTTACCTATTTCTGCCGCCAAACAGTAATGTGAGCATTATTACGTTCCGGTTTTGAAGGGTAAGGATGCTGGTGAATTTACAGGCACATCGAACTTGTCAACTTTGTCTCAGGGTGACGGGTGCAGTGGCAGTGCCCCTCAGATCTTGGCGATTTAAAGCTCTGAGTGGCAATGCAATTGTTACGGACAGGCGTGTCGTTTACCATCAGGCGCACGACTTATTCGTCCTGTCACTAGATATTATATTAAAAAAAAGCATTGTCGACCGAGTCGATGAGGGAACAATCGCTGATTCGCGTACAGCCAGAACGAAGTATTTTTTCTTTGAGTTTATTCAATCTTTGTATGACGTTGATGTGTTTATTGATCATTTTTGTATTTGCTATTCAGAAAGTGATATTTTATGTAATTCAGTAAGTGACGGTATTCAAAGGATTTGGTCGGTGTGGCTGCTAACAGATTGACTGTTTGTTTGCAGTTAATGCGTGACGTCATAATCAACTTCATGCAGCCGAGATCTTGACTGCTTGAAGTTGATGACGACTTCACGCATTAACTGCATGTAGTCTATATCAAAGTCAAAGAATCATTTATTCCATAGGTAATATTTTTACACTTGAAAACGTCATTTTTTAAGCTACTGCTCGTTTGCAGTGCCGACTTCCTTGAGAAGAACAAGCAAGAAACACTAGGGATTGCTCTTTTCAAATAAACTTAAATACTATACAATACATTTTGAAATCACATTTGTGTTGAATCTAGACTCATTTTGTCTTTCCATACATCTTTATCTAACACGTAGTCTACAAATTTGTAATATAACTTATCAATTAAAATACTGTTAATGTAAGTTTTAAACTTAGGAAATGTTAATTTTAATATATGCTCCGGAATCTTATTGTAAAAACGTATACAGTTCCCCTTTAAAGAATCGTTTACCTTAGTTAAACGAAATTGTGAGTTTAGACTTAGCTCTAAGGTTAATGTTATTGATATCTTCTTTCTTAACGAAATTATCTATTTCGGCTGCATGAAGTCGGTTTCGACTACGTGCAGTTAATGCGTGAAGTAGTTATCAACTTCATTCAGTCGTGGTCTCGGCTGCATGAAATTGACGACGACTTCACGAATTGACTGCAAACATGCAGTTAATCTGTTAGCAGCCTAAGACCCAACGAGCACACGTTTCAAGTCTTATATGCAGTCCACAACTGACCACTCCAACAAATGCAAAACATGTAGATCCGCCACGATAATCTTCTAGCAGTTTTGACGACATGACACGGTAATGAGAACAATATCCGTGGCCATTTACTACGACGTGCTTTAATAGTGTGTCGTGAACGGCAAATTGCCAACAAGGAATTTGGTACTCACTGTTACCATTATGCATTAGGTAGACAGTTCACGAAGTTTCTCCCTCTTTATCGTACAAAACCAAATAAGGTTCAGGAACTTATAATTACTACTAGTACTTTTCACTTACTCATTTCAATACGAATGATTGCGTGTATTTCTTAAGTTACTTTCGACAACAACTACATAATATGCGGAGTTTTAGCATGATATGAGGGTGTTTAATATTCTGTATTGACAGCAAAATCGAGTGTAACTGACAGCTACCTTTCTACATTACTTCGTTCGATATTGAAATATAACAATACTATCTATACTACGTGTACTTATTGATAATTTAAACATGAATACAGATTTGCTCGATTTTTGACGATGGACATCGAATTACAAAAAAATAGGACGTCTAACGTCTGTTGTTTACAAATTTACTCATTTTGTTTGATAACACGTGTCGATTGTTAAATAATCGAGCCAATCTGTAGGCCCCTTAATAGTTTCTGTAATCATCATCAAGTTGTTACTACGAGCGCAGGTTTTTCTTAAGGAGTGGATTTAGTCCACAGTCCACAGAAATTTATTACATTTAGCTCAATGCGTGCTAAATGATAAATTTTGTTATTTTTTTATAATATCACGTGACGGGACGAATGAGTCGTGCCCCTAATGGTAACGCTACACGCCTGTCCATAACAGTTGCAGTGCCACTCAGAGCTTTAAATCGCAAAGATCTGAAGGACATTGCCACTGCACCCGTCACCCTGAGTTAAGTTAACAAGTTCCATGTTCCTGTAATTTCACCAGCACCCTTACCCTTCCAAACCGGAACGCAGTAATGGAAAAACATTACTGCTTGGTACTTCCCGAACGAGCTTTACTGCTGCTTCACTGTTCGTAGTAGTTGTGGTTTGTGTAAATGAAATATACTTCATAGTAATTCTCACACCGAGCTGATTGCAAGGGTGAGCAATATGTCACACAAATATTTGTACGCTAACGCTCATTTAATATAAACTTTTTTCATGAATCTATTCACTTATTACGAACGTTCAATTTAAAATTACATTCTATAATTTCTTTTTTTGGTAACAATAATTGACCTTACTCATTTTAAATAACAAATATAAGTTAAACCTCAATTTACATAACTAAACGCACAGTGCAGGTATAAGAACCTCGTAAAAATTACCTGAATTGACAATATATAAAATTATTGTTATATAAAAAGAGCTTCCTATAAAATGTTCTTATAAAATTTAAGTACAATTATAAATGAGAATTATATAAAATTTAGTTACAGGAAGTGTATATAGTTCAAGTGAAAATTATACTATATTATAATAGTATAGTTTGTTAATAAACTAAAATTATTTGATTTTCGCAAATGAGGAGCATTCGATTGCAGCATGCAAATTTATATAAATTTTACATTAAACACAAACGATCATTAAAACATTTCAATTAATAGGTTACATTTCAAATGACACGCTACATAACAAATATTTAACAAATATTTTAGCAGCAGTGCAACTCCTTGTGTACCTATTTCTGCCGCCAAGCAGTAATGTCAGCATTACTGCGTTCCTGTTTTGAAGGGTAGGGTGCTGCTGAAATTACAGGTACATAGGACTTGTCAACTTATGTCTCAGAGTGACGGGCGCAGTGGCAGTGCCCCTCAGATCTTTGCGACAGTTACAGAGCCCTGCGAATAATGACTAAAGTTGGGGATTTCATAGACTAAATATACGTAATATAGAAATGAAAGTCACGGATAAACCAAAGGGATTCGTCGACCTCAATTAAGAAGTAATCGTTCTCCCACTGAGCTACCACCGCCACCAGCGCATAACATTTTCGTGTCAAAACTTAATTCATTGAGAAAGAGTTTATTGCCCATAAGTTGTTAATTGAACAAATAAAATACGTTTAGGCAATAAAATAGTGCTATTCTTTCCTGGACTTTGAATATCTGGCACTCTTTAAACGATATTAAGAAAAAGGAAGTTCCCTATTTCCCTCTAACGTATTTAGATACATACATGAAAAACACTTTATTCACTAATATGATACAAACAGAGATTAAACACAAAATTAAAAATAATAACATTTTAGTCGTAGCAATGAAAGAGTGATGCCTGATCCCTAAGGCGCTGGTTTTTAGGCGGAACGTATGAACAACGAGGGTCTAAATGTAGAAGTTATTCCTAAGCAAAAATATAAGAAACGACTAAAATTATTCCTTGAAATAATATATAAATAGTGCCTCTAAAATAATTTATTTTACGTGTAAGATTTAATGTATGTACATTATGTGTATCAGTGCATGATTTTCTCAAAAATAAGTTCACTAATTTCTATGATTCTTTCGATGTTTGAATCTATAAATTATCATAATTAAAGAAGACGTGAACGTAACAATGAAAACGAACAACATTTAAAAAATGCTTTAAATTTTAATTCTAAAAATTTAAATTGATATGGCTTGGCACCGATTTCAGAAACTCATAATGCCACCATAACTTTGTTGAACAGATTATTTGAATCTTTTTACGTGTCTCTTTTGAAAACGGTTAACTTTTGGAAGATAATATTTGTTTACCGACTTCATCACAAAAATGGAATATATAAATATCTTGGAAATGAAACAATTTTTTCGGATCTAAATAGCGCATATAACTGACATAAGGCTGAATGATGTCAGCCGTGACCATAAGATCTGTAATTCCCTCCTTCTTTATGTGTACTCACACTTTATTAACATTTTGTGTGATTTTATACGCTCTAATAATATAATGCTTTAGTCCCTTGTTTGTCCATGATTGTTTTTTTTACCCCAAGGTATGATCTCCACAACAGCATTCCGTAGAAGAGACTCATCTACGTTATAATAAATACGTTGCTGCTACCGAAACGTTGACGTTATTGAACAATATTAACTGACAACATTAATCGAAACTGACACTGGCCCAAGCCTAGTGGCCGCCATTACGGAAATAGAATAGAATAGATCTATATAATGGGCACGAAATATTGGTTTGAAAAAACAAATAGATTAAATTTAAATTCTATAGCCTGCCTTTTTGAAGACGGAGTAAAATGACATTTGTACGGTTGGCAGTTTTCGTAAAATTTTAAATAGCTAAGTAGTTGTCGATTCGAGTTTTATCGATAGATTGTGAAAGAAGATAAAATTTTACCAAAAATGACTGAATTATGAATGTTACGACGTTCTAATGTTAGTAATTGCGTTATTGCCTTCTTTATTGTTATTTTGTTTTTGATGATTTTGTTTTGTGACAGTTTCTCTATTTGTATCGAGATCATTTTTATTCATATACTTTTTAACAAGAATAACTGGATTTGATTAGGTATCGAATTAAAACGAAAAACTTTGAAACAGGTCTCCTCTTTGTGTTTTTCATAAACATAGTTCTAAATACATGTACACAGTGTATGTATGAACTTACAAAAATTGACAATTCAAATGAACTTGTGTGCAGTAATTAGACGAAAATGGGTCGAGGATGTTTGAAATGAAACAGGTTCGGATATTTATTCCATCAGCGTGACCAATATTCAATCGAAAGTCGATAGAATATTTACCGAATACAATCACTAACTGCCCACAAGCCCAATGAACTGTTATTTCACTTCGTCTTCAAAAAGTAGACTATAAAAGAAAGAAATTTTATTTTCAATTAACAATCGCGAAGACCTAAGAACTCGATTAAATTCTTGTATTTATTAGTTATTGCATACATATTTAGCTACGAACTAAATACACGAAGCGGAAAAGTGATCAGAAGTGCAAAAAAGACATTGTTAATAAAATAAGAAAACCTAGTACCTTTTCAATTAGCGAAGAAGCCTTTTTTTATGATACCAAGTGATGGGATGAACAAGTTGTGCGCTTGGTGTTAAGCGACATGGCTGTCCATAACAGGTGCAGTGCCACCACTCAGAGCTTTAAATCACAAAGATCTGAGAGGCACTGCCACTCCATCCGTTAAGACATAAGTTCACGCCTCCCATATGCCTGTAATTTCACCATCGCCCATATTCTTCAAAACCGGAACGTTATAATGCTCACATTACTGCTTAGTGGTAGAAATAAGTAAGGTGGCAGTGCTTTCTTCGACGAATTCTTTCACACACAAGTGTTTGCCATGATGGTGAGATTTGCGAATCGGCATAAGGCATACCGGTTATTGCGCAGGGTGCGTCAAATGTACAGAAAAGGAATGATGCGTAGTGCGGCGAGTCTTCTGTCGAGCACCCCTACTGCTACTAAAGGCAGCTTACTTTTGTTTCCGTCTGTAAGCTACTATTCTTTCTGTTGTCAATTTGTTCTCGTTTATTTTAATTGACTTTTAAAGTTCGCCCATACGGTTATGGGAGTATTTCGGTCGTGCTGTAGTTTATGTGTGATTTGTTTCAGCAAACCTTGCAATAACGCTTACGAATTTGGACTACGCGATATCGTCGGAACTGGACGGGAATCCGCCATTATGGGTGACAAGGCCGAGGGACGTCGCGCACGATGACATTTATGTCAATAACGCTAAAGTCGACGTGTCCAGGTCTTACCAGTCTGTCAATAAGAATGGAAAGCGGCAGGTATGTCGGCTGTTGCGAACGCGACAGAATTTGTGTAATTTTAACCTGCTACCCTAGGAACTAACAAAACGCTCGTCATGGGCATACTATGTATGGAGGGAGGTTCTACTCAGTGTTGCCAGAGGTTACATTTTTCTTAACTTTTAACCCTCTCGCGTAATATGCAACTAACTTTTGTTTTTAAGGTAATTTTCGCAACTTTTGAGAACGATGAGTTTTTAAAATAATTATAGTTGTTATTGTAAATCATAAATAGTCTACGAACCATCTACGAACGCATTCAAATTACAGATAAAATAACTCGGAAGCAAAATTAAATCAATCAAATCTCCTTTTTTTGTTGTTTTGTTAGGATTGAGGCGTACAAAAATTTACATTTACAATTTTTGATTAAAAAAACGAAAAGTAACTTTTGCAGCAAAAATTAAATTTTTCAGATAACAGGTTCACCATTCAAGTAACACCACATAAGAGCCTTATTGGCTCTTAATGTTATCGCTACCATACACTTAACGAATTTTTTGTGCAAAAGAAAAGGTAATTGATTGATTGATATTTATTTGCATAAAAAGTGGTTCATAAATGGTGGTGTGTATGTACAGTATCAGTTATCATATTAAATTTTATTACCTTCGATTTGTTCCAAAAGTCCAAATAAATTTATATAATGTAGTGTCTTTAATTATTACATGTTGTAAATAAGTCATATATAAGTAAAAAAAAATATTTATAAACTTATGTTACTTTTAGGTCTAATCAATTATAGAGTCGAATTTGAAAAGCTTTATATGAAAATTAGACCGTAATGGCATAGATTTTTGTATCTCTCAGCCATAACATCACATGACGTTTAAATAAATGATTATAATTTATATATTTTGTATCAGAGTAAAGCATTTTGTATTTTCACACACAATCTGTCTTTCCTTTAAAAAGTTTATAATGATTCTTCAAAACAATCCTTTTACAATAATGAATGCGGGCGCGGGAATTGTATTCAATCGAGTAACCGTCTACAAAGAGTGGTAGCAACAGGGCAGCGGAGCTTTAGGGGGCTTGGATGTTGTATTTTTGCAACTCTTGAGTGTGTTTTTATTAAGTTTCAATATAAATTCTATGAAATTTCTTTTGCGTTGCTTCCGTAGCGCTAATAAAAGCAGAAAATTTTCTTGATCTTTACCCGAGAGGCGTTTGGTGCTTTCTTTAAAATCTGTGTAGAAAATGAAATGTGGCTGCTTATGGTGTTACATTGGCCGCCTTCGCTCCACTATGCTATTCCGCTACGCTTTCACTTCCCGCAGGTTCGCCCCCAGACCACTTTTCCCGCTGTACTGCCTCTGTGTGGCCTGAGCTTATTAACATATCTCTTTACGTGCTTGCTGCGAATCTCTATATTTTATTAAAAACATCATGATTTTCAATAAAAATAAATATTGGTTAATGCATGTATTCTTCAAAATATTACAAATTCCATCGTATTTAAACTTGATAAAACCCATGTAATTCTAACAGTCAAATATTTAAAAAATCCTGGCGTACGTAATAAAAAGGTAACAAACGGATTTCAACCCATTCGTTGGTTGATCCAAACTGCCCTCAGAGGTACTACTTGTACCGAGGACCTAAAGTCAATTTATAGAATGTCGCTTGGTACGGGAGAGGATGTTAAGATTTAGGTCAAAGAAAAAAGAGACAAAAAACATTTGAAATGCAAATCTGAATACTTCGGTATTTTTGACTGTTGCCTACTGATAATCGTGAAAATGCGATTAGTATCAGCATTTCAGGTTTGAAAAGTTACTTGCATGCAAACTAATTTTTAAATTTCAGTAGTTAAACTAAAAACCGTTATAGTTTTCGCAAATCATAATTCACACCTCATTTATTTGTAAAAGCACAGGTTGTATGTAAAAAAATAAGTATAGTTTGACTATATGCGGCCAAATATAAGACATATAACATTAAAGCTATATATATATATATATATATATATAGCTTTACTTAACTTTAAAAGATTAAACTAGATGTGTAATAACGGTCGGGCTCGGCCTGCGGCGCGTGGTAGGGTTCAGATTGCGGGGTATGATTATGCTCTTCGGTGACACAATGGTTAGTAATATGGGCGCTTGATGAGAATGTTCCGGGTTCGATTCCCGATTTGGGCCAATTTAGGGAACAAACAAATCTAAGTTGGTTCTCGTTGGGTATTCTGGGTATTGCTCTCAGAGTTATCGTTATTTTGGTATGCAAATTCCCTAATTTGAGACCAGAAATTTGGTGTGATTAACTGGCATTTTTTCCCTAAATACTTCTCTTTGGCATAGCTTCTAGGACAAAACAATCTAACACAGAGACGATCGAGATACAATACGCTATAAGTATCTCATTTCCACTACATCTCGATGTAGATAAATATATTTAATAAATATACTTCCCGAAGTATATCTTACATTTGGGACAATTGTGAGATCTTGTACGGTGGAGTACAGACGTTTCGGGCTTTGCCCTCGGCTGGACCTAGGCCTGCAGCCTCGGCACTTATGACTTTGTTCTAAAAAATTAACATTTAATGGCGGCCATGTTGGAAAATGGCAAAAAGTAAATTTTGACTGCAAATTATTACTAAACACCCATAGAAACCCCAGGATAATAATATTAATAAGTCGAATAACGTCAAAATAAATATACAAATGTCAAAAATTAGACAATGAAGTTAGGGTTGTGTCATTTAAAAATTGGGTCTGTATAGTAAGTACATTTTATTAATAAATAAGTTGTTTAATTGTTTTTTTTTAAATAGCGTAAGGTAGCGTAAGGATTATCACATATCGTCTGTTTCAATCTGTCCGTCCATCCGGTTGTCCGTTTGTCTAGTAAATAGTGATCTTTATGTTTTTCCCTCAAAGTGGACGCCTGTAAATTTATTGTTTTAAAAATAAAACAAATGTTTATGATAGTTCGAAATGTTTAATGTTTAACAAAATAAAAAAGAACTAAAAATGATTAATAATAAAAAATAAAAAAGAAGAAATCTCGTGTAGTCTGGTGGGCTTTATATATTCTTCGCTTTTGCGGCAATTTTAAAAGTTAATGTCACGTGTGTCCTTTTTGTCAAAGTGGAACATTGTTTAGTATTTTGGGGACAGCGGGACATGAAGCATAAAAGCGGGACGTATGGTCACGTTATCTATATACATCACAGCCCTTTTAGCACACTGAGCTATTTACGCACCCATCGTTATGTATGTTAACGACTCAATAACAGAATGAAACATTCTTTTTGGGGCTTCCTTCTATTTAGTGCAATGGTGCGAAAACATACCTAACCCAATTTAATGATCATATTCCTTTAAAAATGCTACAAAGCCATGTATGTGTATTGAACACCCTATCATTTCATTTATTACTTATAATAAAAACGTTAAAACAGAATGTAATCAAGTTGAATTACGTGACGGAGACATGAACATTTTGACAAAGTGACTTTCCTTTAACTAATATTAGAAGATATTTTATCGATGGACAATTTCTTAGTAAGTTACTTTTTAAAAATTGTGTAAAATTAAAATTGATTACTGGTATTGTAAAAAGGTTACATTATAATTAGTTACAAACTTTTCTTTTATGCAACAACAACGCACCCATACACAGCCCCGCACTAGGGGAACCCTATATCTCAGGTGTCATGGACACACATAGACAACCACAAATGACGCCCATACTTACGAGAGAAATAAATGTAGTATATACAAATCTTTCTCCCGGCTCGTGAACCAAACCCGGAACTCTACGTTGCAGTCCAGCATAATAACAGTTCGGCCACGGAGTCAGTTGAAACGTTTTTTTAACTTTAAATGCAGTCTTTACGGTACGTGAAAATACAAGTACAATGTGGTATGTGTGGCGTACTATAAGTTTCCGGAATGAATAAGAAAAAAAATACCATAAATGGTCAGAAATGAATGTATTGTTTATTAAAATATTCTCCGTTAGCGTTAATGCACTTTTTTATACGAATGAACCAATTTTGAAAACATTTATGCCACTCCTCCGTGACAATCTCTGAAACATATTTTTCATATTCTTCGATAGTCTCTTCAAGTGATGAAAATCGTTGACCGCGTAACTGGTTCTTAATTTTTGGAAATAAATAAAAGTCACAAGGTACCAGGTCGGGACTGTACGTGGGATGACTCATAAGGTCAACGTGGTTCACCTTCAAAAATTCATTTGTCTATCTGGCCGCGTGAGAACTGGTATTATCGTGATGCAAGATGATACGGCGTTTACGGTTATTTTTACGGAGTTTGTAATATATACAATAACTTCCGGTAAACAAATGGTCGTGTACCAATCACTATTCACGGTACAACGTTTCTCCAAAGGAACAGTACCCACGTGTCCAGTTTTATTAAAAAAGAAGCAATCATCCGCTTAGAGGCACTTTGCACGCGCGCCACTTTGGTCGGTTTCGGCTCTCTCGAAACACCCATACGCTCGATTGCTGCTTTGTTTTGGGATCGTAACTATAAATCCATGTTTCGTCACCTGTTACTATGTTCCACACCAAATTTGATGCCCCTTCGTTGAACCTGGGAAGCATAGCATTGCAGCAAGTGACGCGATCCGTTTTTTGAGCCTCAGTCAAATTGTGTAGGATCCACCGAGAGCACAGGATACTACACAACCCAAATGTTTGTGTAGTATTGATCGTATTTGACTCATGCCTATGCCTAAAGATGCCCGAAACTCATGATATGTCACATGCCTGTCTGTTTTGATCGTACGGCGCACAGCATCGACGTTTTTGTTGTTCACAGCAGTGGACGGGCGACCATCACGAAATTCGTCACTGAGATTCACACGACCGCGTTTGAATTCTGCAAACCAAAAGCAGTTTGAAGCCGATCGAAGCTCTGCTGAGCTGTTAAATTACACTTAAAGTCGTAGAAGATCATACTACGAAAATTTTCACGAGTTAAATCCATGGTGATGTAGACAACCAATTTCTAAAATGACGCCACATTGTAAAAACAAGTGACAGTCAGATGAAACAAACTGTATTGTACAGCCAAAGAGTTCCATTTTCAAATATTGTAATTACTTTTTAAATATTGTTTATGTAAGTGGTCAGTTCCGGAAATATATAGTGCGCCCTATGCATGAGTGATAAAAAAAAACACGCGTGATTGTCATAGGATCGCGTTTTGTTTTGCTCGTTTATTCGGCTTATGCTGTGATTTACAAAAACGGAACTTTAAGTTCGACTAAGCATAAATGGAGAGCTAAGCAAGTTTTTATTATTCACATAATTATAATTTTTTTATAAAAAAAGGACCCGTCAAAAGTGTGTGGAGTTACGTCTGCTTGCAAAGTTTTATTGAAATTCGTTAACGGAAAGTGGATGAAACCATAAAAACCTCATTCGTGCTATCCTTAAAGGCGAAATATTTTTTTTTAATTTCAATAGGACAAATACTAAGGTATCCCTTTCTCTACGAAAAAAGAATCATCGAAATCGGTTCACAAATATCGGAGTAATAGCGTAACATACACAAAACAATAATACAATCAAATTGAGAACATCTTTCTTTTTTGAAGTCGATCAAAAACGTAATTCACCTAAGTTGAAGCAAGAAATTACAAGTGAACTCAAAGTTTCATTCATCCGCCATCTTTGCTTAATCAAAGTCAAAGTTTATTTTATGAATCTCAACATGAACTCAACCATAAAATTTCCATATTTGTGTATCATATAATGTATTTAAATCCTAAATAATTTATGTGTAGTTTGGCACTTTGCAATATACACTAATGGAAACATACCCCTCAGGTACTTCACGTGATCGATCAAGTGTTGCAGCCCCTCCAGCCGCACGGCTCCACCAGTAATCCGGTTTACAACCCCAACGCGTATCAGTTTCTAGAACATTCCGACGTGTTTAATATAGGACAGCATAGACTCAGGTATGTATTTTTATGCTTAGTATATTTTGTTTCCTTTCTCGTACCGAATTGCGACTAATTTGAAATTATAGATTCGTTATTCTTTAAAGCTTGCGTGCAATGGGGCGTGTGTTGAAGAAAATCATCAAAATATAGTTTTTTTTATTAATTTCGCTATATTTATATGACTACTAAGTGAAATATTTTCTTTTTGCAATTTTTAACGCTTTCCAAAAATTTGGAAAACGTGACAACATAATAAATTCATACATTAAAAAACATGTGAAAAAGCTTAATACAAAACAAAACAAATAAAAGCTCGGAAACTAAGTATTAAAAACTTAAATCATAGCCATAGATTTATAGACAAATGACTGAGTTTTTAGGTGAATGCTAGAGTGACATATTTACAAAAATACGAACTTAGAGTCTTTCTACCAGGAGAAATTAATTGTTTTGAGGTTAATTATTTTATACGTCTTTAAATTTATACGAACAAACCATTCCAATTTGCTTAAATTACTTGTAAAAAGACGCGCTCAGTATTACATATCTCTGTTTGCCTCAACAGATCGTTTAGGCAAAAGGTGAATCAACTAAAAAAGAAGGAGGTACTTAACGCTGATGGTAGACACACTTTCTTTATTCCAGTCGATGAAGGCTTCAAGGTAAGAATATACGATATACGGATTACAAATATAGCATACTTATAAAACATATAAATTGATTGAAAATTGAGATCAGCCTAAGATTTTATAAATCTTACATAACACCAAAGCGGTGGGTACAGAATGCCTTACCTTAACTATTTTGTGAGAAAACATAGCCGAATAGTTTTGCTATTAATGTCGAGAACAATTCACTGAAACTTCCACGAAGCAAAATTTACAGCTTAACATTATTATAAGGCTATATATTTATTATAATATTACAAAGTAAATTCTGAAGAGTTACTTTTTGACTTTGATATTGTAGCGCATTGTTAGAAATTAGTTTGTTTAAACTTCGCAACAATTTGCCAGCTTTTCATCAAAATAGAATTATTTGCCAGAATGCAGTAATTATACAGGTCGTAAGTAAAACTAGGCACATTGCATTAAATCGATAAGCAGATGTGCAAATATTAAAGGAATGTAATGTTTGGTCTCTATAGTTTCACATTAATATACAACAGAATTTGTAAATTCTTAGTATTCTTTATGACTATAGAAGTACAAGACCGTAGCTGAGCACCAGAGCACGGATGAAACGTAGCCATGAAAGGCCTGTAATGTAGCTTCTCGAGAGACAGTTTGATCAGATGAAGTTTCTTTCAGCCAACGACACGTTCCGATCTCATTGATGAGAAAGTGGTGGATGGCCACGTCATACCACATCACGTGCTGTTCACGCAGGCCACTGAAGATAGCAAAGAGTTCGAGACTTTGGCCTTTAGTGATAATGTTAAAGTCACCATTTCGTTTAGCACAACCGTTAACGGGAACGAAGAAATCAGTGAGTAGTTTTACAAACTTAGTAATTTTTTTCATATGACTTTAATGTCGTTCAGAAACCAAGCAAAAATTTAAGTAATTTTATCGCGTTGGCGTACACAAGGGGAGGCATATGTCAAGCAGTGGATGCGTGTAAGCTGCGGTTGAAATAATTGTATGTACAGTTACAAGTTCACAATTACATAGTTTTTTTGGAAAACTAAGCAAACCTGTAAAATGTTTCCGTTAGAGTTTCACAAGATGGTAAGGACTAAAATCTTGTCACATTTTGCAGTCACGGTAAAATAAACTGATGTACATCTCATTCAAAGTCCACAAGTACCAATGCCCTAAATACTACTGTTTATCCATCCAATCAAAATCAAATCAATCATAATATTACATGCTACGGTACGAAACAATTTTCTATAACGACATGCATAAATCTTTTCCTCGAAAATTACACCGCAAAACAACTTTTTGTTTCATTAAACCACAACAGCGGGAGACAAAACCCGTTTGTTTAGAATTAATCGTGTGTTTCAAAAAGTAATTTTTAATATTCCTTTCGAAATAAATGTAATAACACATTCTTGGTTGAGTTTGGTAAAAACCAAACTTTTTCAAGGGAAAAATTTTGTTTAATAATGATAACTTCTTTAAAAAAGGTATATAAGAAAAGGTAACTTCTGTCTCCTCTTACACTTTCGGTGCTGTTATAAAAAGATAATAAAAAATATTTCGGTCAAAATACATTGCAATTAAAATAAATAAAGCTAAAGCCATAATAATTAATATAACCCGAATAAAAATCAACAAATAGTATAAAATTATTTTTATAAAATAAAAGTAAATAAAAGCCAAAATTTAAACAAAAAATTTCAGGTACACACAGTAAAATAAATAAATCTGTAGTTTACTAATGTCTAAATCGATTGCTGCCATACCTTGCACCATAGCGGGCATTTAAGCGTTATTATGTCAATTCTATTATTCATCTTCACCTAATTTATACGTCCTACTGATGAGTACAGGTCTCCTTTCAGGCGAGAGTATTATACCAAAGTCCGCCATACCCAATGCGGGTTGGGGATTTCCGAGGATTGTGAATTTTCCTTGACGTGCAGGTTTCATCAAGATGTTTTCCTTCACCGTAAAACTCATAATAAATTTAAAATTAAATACCCACTTAAATTCCGAGAAACTCAGAGGTGAGAGCCTGGATTCCAACCTACGGCATCTGTTTGAAAGGCGGTGACCAACAGGCTACCATAGAATAGCCGTGGTAACCAATAGGCTGCCACGGCTATTTATTCTGTTACTTATTGATTATAAATTTCTAATTATAAATCCTTTGCACAGCATATGTTAAATCGAATACTGTAGCGGGCGACACGAAACACAGCAAAGGCGTGGTGATGGCTGACATCGTTCGAGCCAACATCCCGGTCAAGAATGGAGTGGTTCATCTCATCCAGAGACCTTTGATGGTCGTCGATACATCCGTCATCGACTTTCTAAAGGTGAGTTTCAAACAAACCTGTCATGAAGTGACAATCAATCAACGTAAAAACAAAAGAAAGAGGGAAAAAGTTTTTATAACTATTTAGAGAGTCATTGCTCGTAATTTGAAAAAGTTATTTGATTACTTGCTCATCTTTTAATACTGACTTTTCAATTTGTTTATGTTCTTATGTTCTTTCTAAAAGTATGGACTGTGTAAAAGCTATCCAATTAGGGTGCATTGAAAATATTGTTCCAAAAGAACATTTTTTTGAAAAGTCTTATGCGGCTGAATGATAAACTTTTCAATACTGACATTGACTTTTCGCTCCATTTGAACGGAACCAGGCAATGAAGGTAAAATTGAAGCGTCTTATTTATATCCTTTTTATTACCATCTTTGTGAGTGTCCTCTTCATTCAGTCTATTGCCGTTTATTTACATTTTCTCAATCTAATTTATACGACTGTAGTTCTTTATAACTTTCACCTGATTTTGTGCGACATTTATACTTTCATTATTTATACTCATGTATTTACCACTTGTTTAATCCTTTGTTCAAAACCCTGTCCTGTTGTTTTAGGTCGTATGTCCATTGTGTAGTAAATTTGTTTATTGTATGAAACGGATTAAATAATTTTGTCGTGCATCTAATTGCTGAGGGAATAGCTACCTTAAATTTACACAGAGAGCTTACCAGAACCACTTAATAATCTTTAATTCAATATTCAATCAGTAAAATAATTCATACTTATCTTAAAATAACTTGGATAAGGTAAGAAAAATGGGCGTAAAGTTTTTAAAAGGACGGTATTTTGTTATCAGACATGCTACGCTTTGCTACGTATTCGTAGCTCCATTGTATGATTAGTTCATATATAGCTGAATGTTATATACATAACATTCAGCACCATTGCACAATCGTACTTAAACAAGTACGATTGTGCAATGGTGCTATGATTGTTGTACCATTAACCTCACAAACAAAATATTAACAGTTTTTACTTTTTCCTTTACCTCTATCTAGTCGAGGAAACGGGTAGGTCAATTTGAACAAATGAGAATGAATATGGTAGAGTTTAGTTTTAATGTAGAATTACAAAAAAATGACGTTATAAAGTAAATAAAAGTCCGTTGCTTTGCACATCAGTCGATTTTTGAGTCAGTATGTAGTTTCATCTTAAAAGTTTGTGCCAATTTTTACCTAAATTAAAAACGTCCCGTTTGTTCTGGACTCGGAAAATATCCGTCACTCTCTTTTGTATGTTTGTGCGCCCTTCCCTGACATGGATCCTGCATGACTCTTACATCTTTAGGGGATTGTAAGTATTAAACTGTATGCATGCATGACATTAGCCTGTAGCTGCGATTTTCAATATCCCTGCTAAGACTGTTTCTCTTAGATTGTTTTCATAATTTCAAACCTAAAAGTTTTTGTAGCTTAGTTAATCGAATTTCCAAGCAAGACGATGTAAGTATAAACTTAGTACGTTGTAGTAGAAAGGTAATTAAATCACTTTGTTTAGAGGTCTTAAATTATTACGTGCGCCCACAATAGCCTTACCTTATTTTATATTTTAAGTAACGAGAAGAGTTAGGGTTCATAAAAAATGAAGGTTGTTTGGTTCATTAATTAAGTTTCCTACTATTTCCAAAGGTGATGGGGTTGTAAATATTATAAGTAATTGCTCATTGAAAGTAATTTCTCCCGATGGTAATGTTTATAATAATATAGCCTGAGAACTTGTAAGCAATAAAGTGTATAATATCGTATCGAGCGATAAAAATGTACATTGCTTTGTTGGGCAGGTTTTACTACGTTTACTGTATTCCCGATCCGGAAAAACGACTGATCCGAGTGTATCTGAGCAGACGTTGCTGTGCTTGCTATGCTCGGGTTTGGCTTCGTACTATATAAATGCAGGAGTGCACTACGTAGATTGGAAGTATCCGTCTTTATTGCAATTCTGTTTTGTGTTCGAAACACTGTGATTTTGTGATTGGTTGAAATATGTTTTAGAGAATGAGAATTTATGCAGCTTTGGATGTGATCGAGATACTTACTACCTTGGAAATTTTTTATGTATATATGCATTCCGGATTGGTTACAACTTTTGAGAATATATATAATTACCACATCTGATATGGTCCAAACGCGATTTATGATGGCCTAATTTTATGTTTCCACAGGAAAAAGAAGACGGCCCTCTCTCCAAGTTTTATGAAGTTATCATGGATTTAGGACCTAATAACCCATTTTTGAATGAGCTTATGAACGCTAAGGACGTCACACTTTTCGGCCCATCCAATGACGCGTGGAATGAGCGCAGCGTCCAACATATTGTTAGGTGAGTGATGGCAAGAGATTTACGAAACATTCGCTATGAAAACTCTAACACCTAGTCATTACGAGTGCGTTGATATACATATTAGAAATCTTATGGATAAAATATAGTTAAGAGACCCCTCAGAAAAATCTGAAATGTGACAGAGTGAGAATTCTGTGATCCGTATATGATGTGGTTTGAAAGACGATGTAGTGACAAAAATAGGAAAGGGTATGTTGAAGTGATTTATGCACATAAATAAAATGAAGGAATGTAGATTAACGAAAGAAATATATAGAGCCAACGTAAAAGGCATCATTGGAAAGCGACGACCACGAAGGATTCTCAAATCAAATTGAGAATGTTCTTAAAAAAGCTGGACAGCGTAGTTTTCATATACAGCAAGAGAAGTCTGTCAGGTACGATAGACCCTGCCTACCCCGAAGGGAATCCAAGGGCGTCAGTATAAATAAAAAAGAAATAAAAAAATAGTTTCCTATGAATTTTTATATTGGACTGGCAATAATCGAATGTCGAATCGGAAAGTATAGTACCTACGCCTTAGCTTATCGTAAATCACTATTATAGCTTGGCTCTAACATTTCCATCGAATATAAACAATTTATTCAATTTCTATTTCAAAAATGTGATCAATATAATTTTATTGTCAACAGGAATCATCAAAAACTAAAAGAAATATTAAATTTACATCTCGTTCGAGAGAGATTACCGATGGACCTCATACTGCAAAATAACCAGAATCAGGTATGTTATCTTTTCATACGCAGTATTATAATTAACATAATTATTGAACAGTTTCCAACGTTTCGTTGGTTTTAATTAGCCATATTTTAAATGATGAAATATTTCATCGAAATTGTTGGTCATAGAAGATTAACAATCGGTTTTATTGTCTTCATTTTATCGGAATCAGCTGCCAGGAAAAGTACGTTGATCTATTTATGGAGTAAACATTTTAATTCCAGTAGTTTGGTTTTTGAAACTTTTAGTTTTTTTAAATATTTAATGGTATGTCAGGTGTATTATACTATTATCGAGATGAAGCTATATTTTACTTTATGAGTAAATTATATAACCTTGCTAGACCGATTGTTTGGAAACATTAATGCATGTACGAACATTTTTACTCTGTCATCCATAAATGTAGCTTCACCCTCTATTTTGTCTCACACATTCATGGTGATAACCGGATACATTTTTGAGAAAACTATACAAAATAATCGCAGTGAAGGCTAAAGTTTCACGAGATGCCATAACTAAACCGTGCACGTGTGAACAAGTATCTTAGAAATTGATTCAATATAAATGTCATTTGCATGGCAGTTTTCTGTCGAAACACCTAACTCAAATATTTGGTTTACTAGCATTGCTGACGTCATCTACGTTATTAACAATTTAAATCATGTTTGATGTTCCATTGGTCGTTTAATGATTTTTAATTCGATGCTATGTCTTTCTCATTCCATTGTTAATGTGTCATGAAGTATTTAGATGACTTAATTAAATAGTGTTAAGTAGTGTTTTCATATTTTTTATGATTTTGTTGTGTTGTGAATTTCTCGTAATAATATTTTATAGATATACCAAGCTCCGACGGCTTTGCCTCGCAAGTACTTGTACTTCAACGTGCTTCAGTATGGGCACAATCAGACTCTGACAGTGGAAGGTGGCGGCGTCAACGCCACTGTGACACAGCCGAATATAGCCGCTACGAATGGCTTTGTGCATATAATAGATAGAGTTCTTGGAGTCCCTTACACAACCGTATTCGAGAAACTAAAAACGGATCCCATGCTCAAGTGAGTTATGTTAATTAATATTGAAATCGGATTAATGTGCGAGTGCTTCTTATCGGGCACGTACGCGATAATTGAATTATGTATTTTCACGTTACGTGTGTTTGCTTCAAGGTAAATTGAGGAACGTGCTTTGTGTGACAAGCTTAGAGCTTGTTACCAGCCCCCTCTAGCCTACTTACCAGCAAACAAGTTGTAACAGTTGAATTTAGCTGTTTATTGATTTTGTTTTCTATACACGTTTGTAGTCTTATTAAATTCTTTCATCCAATATGTTTTTCCTAGCATCACATACAGTCTCGGCAAGCGGCAGATGTTCAACCATCCCCTGAACGATATGGAACACCGGTACACTTACTTCGTCCCAAGAGATCACGCTTGGATGAAATTCCAAATCAGACATCCTTCTGCATTCAAGGCTCTCTTCCGAGAAGATTATGGATACTTTGTAAGTTACATTGCACTTCTTGACTGCCATTATCCTTGAAAAGGAAAGCAGTGCAGAAAGAATTACGCCTTGAATTACATTACATTCACGCCTCAACTTGAATCAGGTAGGCATTTTGTATTCCGTACATTCAGTTCTTTTTGCATGGAGGCACAAAAAATATAAAATAACATTCATATATAATATTTTGATAATTATGAATGCGAAGCATACAAGAGCGCCTCATTTTCACCGACAGAACGTGCTCCGCGTGATCAAGACTTTTTCGCCAACTACATTGGATTTAGTTGAAATTTAATATTCGCAGACGAAACAACTTCTCGAAAGGCACGTGATTAGGGCGTCTCGTGCGTATACCGTGTCGGACCTGAAGCTACTCGCGAACGAAACGCATCCTTTCGTGTTACCCACTACACGGGACCCGCTCAAACTGCGCGTCAAGGAATCTGACAAGAGTAAGTTTTATGCCCGCAAATTTACATTCACACTAACTCCGTACGACCAAAACAACAATGGCAAACTCAAATATGTACCTTTTTGTTGACATAATTTGTATGCGTCTGTTTATTAAAAATATGTGAACATTTTGAGTTTAAATTCCTGAACAAAATTGGTTTTTGGTTTACTATGACGTCTGGAATTAAAGATATTCCAGTTTGCAGTTTTGGAGGTTATGTTTTACATATTGGAATAAAATAAATTCGATGTTTTATTATATCAAAATAAACTACGAAGCTTTAAACAGTGTTAATAAAAGATCAATGGTGTCGTGGGTTTGTGACGCGATGGAAATTCAGAGGAAATTATTTTCTTATAATGGTATGGTCAAAAGGCATGAAGTTAAGCCATACGAAAAGTAAACTGAGAACTGAAGAAAAAATGAAAAAAAAAAAATTTGTGCCCGACACAATTTTTTTTTGTGACGCGTGCCATCTATCCCTTATGTCCGGAACTTTTTTATCAATTTCACCATTTTCTCAGGTGGCATTTTTACGTGTGTGTGGATAGAGTGAGCACCCTCTGTAAAATGTTTAAAATGTGTTAGACATTTAGTAAAATTTATTTAAATTAAATTTCGTTAATCTAGACATAAATGAAATTTAATTCACTTATTTGGTTCTTAAGAAATCGTTCCCTTTAAAAACGTGCGGATTGAGAGAGCATAAGAAAGTATTTGTAAAAAATTGAAAAAAGGCACTAATCTATCTCTGTAATTAAAAACGATAGTTTAACTAAACTTTTACTGAAAACTAGTACAATAATATTATATGTAAACTAAATACTTTTGTAGATCTGACTGGCCCTCTGTGAGAACTGAGTGAGCACATTACGTTATTTTTCTCTTGTTTTATCTATTTACAAATAGAAAGATTAGTTTCTACAATTGTTTTAGAACTTTTACTAAATGACTAACACATTTTAAACATTTTACAAGGGTGCTCACTCAATCCACACACACGTGCATATTTGGAGAAGGAATTATCTCATATTGCAAATCGATTGAATCAGTACATTTGATTTTACGTCTCTATACTCTCTATCTATACGTAGGTACTGAAAAATCTTTTTCAGTCCGGTTGCATACTAATCAGTTATTTGAATTTTTTTGAAATATTATTTTATTTCCAGACTTATATAGGCCTTTAGTATAATTTGAATAACCTAATTAATTTAATTTATTCAAACTTGTAATTATGAGATTTGAAGACGCTAAAGAAACTTTTAACAATGATATCGCCATTGTTCTTTACATTCACAATAACTTAGTAAAAGTAAGTAAAAGTAAGTAAAAGTAAATCTTATTTCTTCTTCTTCTTTAGCAGTTCTCTACTTCTGAGGTCTTGAGTAGTTCCTAATCACTTTGTTCCCGTCAGTCCTTTGATATCGTCGCACCAACTGTAATCTGCGTCTGTAATCTTCGTCACAAGCAATTTGCGTTCAAAGTAACTGAATAAACTTAAAAACGACAAAACAAATCTGTTGCGTTACATGATACAGAACTGTTGGTTTTTATGTTGAAATTGTGTGGTATTATGGAACGTAGGATGTTAAATTGTGTATTTGACATCCAAGCGGATGCCAAGCAATATTGCTGAAAGGTTATACAAGTGCCAAGTTTTTAATCGCAATCATAGCAGCTTGGAGAAATGAATTTGTGTTTAGCCAACGTACAATCTCGCAGAGTTGCGTGTCAAATCAATCTGATAAACGTGAGCTTTTATTTCGCATTAACTTGAATATAAACGATTAGAAGATGGCGTGTCACGCAAAGAAAACACTTTGAAAACTGTACTTGTTAAACTAATTAAATACTGTTTCCAAGTCATTAGTCGAATGAAGGAGCTTTTTTAAAAAAAGATTTTACTTAGTTCCACAATTTGCTCTTAAAACTTTTCAAACGGGAGTTCTGCGAGATGGTGAACAAAAAAGAGCAAGTCAGCAAATTTCACTCATTCGTGCCACTGAATCTGATAAAAGAAAACTATTAGCCCCGCATTTACATCATTATCTAAACACCCATCGGGGAATCGAGAATAATTGCTCCTATCCAATTTTTGATTGTCTTTCCGTTCAAGCATTATTAAGGAAAAAATTTGTACGTACGAGATTCTATGTACATATTTTCCCGAAATAAAATTCAAAACATCAAATATGAAATCGAAAAATATTCCTATGTAAAGTCCCATTTTCACGTTAATTTTTATTTAAACCTTATAAACTTGTCAGATTATTTATTTATAGTAAATTTTGTTGTATAGACTCGTAGGTACTGCCCACTTATAAAGGCCCAGATCGCTTAAACAAGTAAACTTTACGAAATAGTTACAAAAAGTGTATTCAAATTAAATTTGTTAAACGATCTGACTTTATAATATTAATGCAAAATGATCATTAAAAATTATATTAGATGTTCTACATATATACTTCACGGTTTCCCATTGGCGTAGGCAGAGACGACAGTCTTCCACTTGCTACGGTCCTGACACATTCGCCTCATCAACACGCATCAGTGCTTTCATACACCCTCGTCGATTAAGGGTATTCTTAATCTGGCTCTTCTTTAGGATGGCGTCAATTTGGTCATAGTAAGTTTGCCATGATCAGCCCGTACCAACTTGATATTTAGCTACGGAGCACCTAAGTCTTTAGATATCAATAATAATAGAAATTCGATTGTGACAAAAAATCGCGATCTTTATCATCGCCTACTGACCGACTTCACACACTGCTGGGTGTAGGCCCTTAGTATGTGCCATGCATTAAGATTATGTGCTAGTCTCACCACGACGATATCGTCCACCCATCTCGCTATAGGACGTCTCTCGTTTCCATAACCAAGTCGCATTTAATAAAAGTGGCAGCAAGTGAAGGTTAAACCGTACAAAATAGGTGAATATTTTTTCATGCATTTAATTTTCCCACTCTCCCTCCGCATAAAAAATTCATAAAATAAATAACACAAGCGCAACTACAATCACAAACAGAACCACTAAAAATGTACCCCACACGCGATTCGCCTCTCTACGAGGCATCCTCAGTTATTGAATGTTCGACCCTCTGCGGAAGAATGAGCTCGTTTTTTTTTCTGAAAGACTTTAGCTGACCGCGACTGCGTCACCAGATGAAAGGGCAAGCTGAAACCTCTTAACCTATTGAAAATTAAAATTAAACTAAAACAAAATGGCGGCTCAGGCGCCCAAGTGGGCACGGACTTCGACTCAGAAGCGCTACTGGGGACTTCCTCTCGCCAGAAGGGCATGCTGTGGGAGAGAATCTAGTACATGCTGAAATGAGGGTCATGGCGCGTGTGATGAGCACGCTGAGAACAAATTGTCATATTTATACTCCACTGCCTCCACTATTACCTACGTTGTAGTTTAAAAATTCCCGCATTAAAGCTGATAACGCAACTTTCAATTGTTCATTTATTTATTAGTCTGTGTGAACATGCTGATGGGGGGTCAGGACCAAACTGATAAGGTCCCTGTGCAGACTTGCTAGCACAGGTAATAGTGCCCTATACAACCAAATTAATATTGATAGAGAGAGGCACTATAAACAAATTCACACCCAAACGTAATATTTTGTTGCATTTTTATGTACAATGTTAAGGTGTTCCAGTTCCCGCGCCCAAATGTCATGAGCCTAGAGATAAATCATTATTAAATTAATGTGAGAAATGAATCATATTAAATGAATATCGAAATCAAGCTCTTATACTGTAATGATCATCATAAATCAATATTAGATTTTACTCTACCAAGACTCGAAACGGCCCTCTTTGTTTTACCTTAACAGGTCAAATTATAATTTACACTTAAGTAAATATTGATCAATGGTTTTTGTTTGTTTAGATTACTACGTGGAATGGAACGGCCACTGGATCCATGTGTTCAGACCGGATGTGGAGTGTACAAATGGTATCATTCACGTCATCGACGAACCCTTCATCCTTGAGAGTGATATCAGAGCTACCGGTAGTGCTGACAATCTTCAAATTGCCAATACTTTCTTTTTACTTTTAGCGTCCTATCTTTTTGTGAGAGTCCTAGAGTTTTAATACAATTTATCCCGTTTTTCATTCCACGAAACAATTCTACTTCCAAGTAATTGTTTTGTAAGGACACACTTTTTGAATTATGAAACCATTAAACTGAAGTAGCGGAATTTTCCTAAATGTTTTGATCGTTAATTTCAATTGATATAGTTTTGAATCTCAATTAATACTTTGCTTGAATTTGTGTTTTGACTTACCGTACTTCCGTTTGTATTATGTGCGCAATAACTAAATATAAATTATGTAATAATAAAATTTAAATATTGTATACACTGCCAGTAGTGATTATAAATCAAGTATTTTAATAACCTTGGCAGTCTGTAAACTTATCCAATAAACAGGTAATGTGTGTAGTATAGGAATCGTTCTAAACTTTTGAAAACTGTTGTTAAATCTAACATAGTTAATACTATCGTGATTATAATTTATACCGCTTATTATAACTACGACAACAGATGTTAATTTATTAATTAATTTATTCAAACTTTGGTCCCCTTGTGCCTTCTTTCGAAAAGTAAATAAATTTTAATTAAAAATTATTTCTGAATCGAACATAATCGGTTTGAAATTCGTCCTAAATTACATTTATACATTCCATGTTGTCTTTAATAAATATTTATTATTAAATAATTTAAGCAAAATTAAATTTACACATTTATATATAAATATACATTATCAAAATTGAACTTTCTGTATAAACTTATGCATATTATGTATTGATCGTGTTTATATGAGATGTTTTGTGGTTTTTAGGCAATGTGTACATTATTATCAGTATATGACCAGTGAATTGAAAAATAATTGGCAGTAATAACTAACTAATACATATAGACTTTAAGTGATGCGAATTTAATCTCTTAAGATCGGTTTGCTTGAAAGTTGCGTTAATTTTATAAGATGCAGCTGTAATAAATTAATTATATTACATATTTTTAACAAACTCTTAAATTAAAGAATACGGTATAAATAAGAGTAAAAATTCAACTCTTTTTGGTAGATGATCAGCGATTTCAATCTCACCGATTCTCTATCGTTACACTAATACATAAGTTGCGCTCTTGGCGTAATAAAGCCATATCTGCAAAATGATAAGGTTTAAATATACTGTGAACGAAATTAGTCTTTTTGCACTCAAATAGGAGTGTTATAAAGTTTCACGTATACGTAATTTGTTTCATGTGGTATATAGTATGTTTATGACTTTCATGTTATGAAAGCATTTTTGAAGCCACTTATCTCTTTATTATACCAAAGGTAAGAAGCATTTTTAAAACAACACTATTTTTTAGAAAGCAACAGTGATATATCAAATTGTATTGTATTATATCTTTCATTCCAGTTAAAAAGTTGTCATCGTTTGATTAGAGTTTTTCTTTGCTGGGTCAATTATAAAGACCATTTGCCACAATCGTTGTAGAAATTTGGCATTAAATTTATGATTATTTTAATGACTATTGCCTAAATTGCAGGCACATGGGACTTGTCAACTTATGTTTCAGGATGACGGGCGCAGTAGCAGTACCTCTCAGATCTTTGCGACTTACGACAGGCACACGACTCGTTCGCCCCGTCACTTGATATTATAAAAAAAGCCAATGAAATAAAAATGGCAACAAATAATTAGACTCAAAACGTAATATTACTTAAACAAGAACATAATTTGTGTATAAACTGTAACTACAAAGGGGGAAACAGATAGCTTTATACAATATAATGCAGTACTTTTTCTCTAAAAAATCTAAAGTATCTATTTGAAAAAATATGCCAAAATCTTCGAAATATCAGTTCTGGCAGGTACAAGAAAAAAAATGGCGTATTTTTTTTAGTTACAATTATTTTCCTTTATACTCCGTACTTGATGGCTCCGTAGCATAACAGTTTTGTCATTCTCAATCGCAAACTTATGAATTACCGTAACGATAGAGATAATAAACCATTTACGATAAATGATTTTGACGATCAAAAAGTATTTACTTGTTACCGAATACTAGATATTTTGTAAACATTACTTTTATAAGATTTTTCACGCAAATAGAAGTGACTTTAAAATTTTACTCTAGCTTCTAATGTATATAGGGATGAATGTGCTTAAACTATGGTGCATTTGTAATTCTCCTTACGTTAAAATAGGTTGGTGTAAATAATTTATATAAGTTATAATAGTATATTTCTTATTATTGTATAATTTCTAGCTATACTACTATTTCCATGCGACTGAAAATTTATCACATTTTCATATTGTTATTAAAAACGTATCAGATACTTTATTAACATTTGCATTGCAACAATATTATTAAAACTTCGACGTGTAACTTAGCAGATATTCTTTCCTATATAATGCTTAAAATAACAATTTTGTGTTTCCATTAATAAATACATATATCACATGCCAACATTATTTAGTCGCTTTATAATCTGTACACATTTTGTAAAAGGAAATATGACAATTGTATAATGCAAAGCTGGTCTAATTTGATATATAATGAGATTTTTTATAACAGACATAACAGTTCGTGGTAAATTTATATAACTAGTTTACACATATATACAATGAGATATTGATGTGGTAGTTGTATGGGACAAATTGACCCAAGACAATATAATTTTGACCAAATATTAAACCAAATATTTGGTTAGTGCACTGGAATTCTAATTGTTAGTGGTATTCTTCGTATCTCAAACAATGTCAAATTAGTTATTACTATAATAATTATGTACGTGTTTATGAATAAAGAATTTACGTATAAAATATAGGGAGTTGAATTTCTGATTTGCTTTTGTTTTTCTTTTGTAAACCCCTTCTGAAACCCGTTATATATAAAAATGGAACGAATTGAAAAAAATCGTCTCCATGATCTAAGACTACACATATAGATATTATACACTTCCGCACATACACACATCAAAAAAAGTTTGCGATCAATAGCATAAGCTCCTATAATTCTTTAAATTTAACTTTATCAAGAAAAAATCTATGTTGTATGCTTTCTTTAAATAGGAATACCCTGTTTGAAATTAAAATATAAAACTATTTTTTATTATTTATTTTAAAAAATTGAGCCATTAATCATAATGTAATAGTGATAGAAATTTCATAGAAAGAAAAAGACTGTTTAATTAAACTTAAACAACAATTTATTATTAAAAGGTGTGAATTCAATATAAAATAACTCCTCCCCTGGCTCGAATACATGCGAAGATCCTCCTGGGCATGCTGAGGATCAAGTTATCCAGCATTTCCTGGGGTAACCTATCCCATTCTTCAATAGCGGCTTCCCTGAGCTCTGGAACTGTCTGGGGACGTGGCTCACGGTTCCATACTGCTCGTTTAAGAGCATCCCACGCGTGCTATATTGGGTTTAAGTCGGGCGAGCCGGCAGGCCAGTCTAATCGTGTGATATCGTATTCTTGAAGAGCAGCATTGACTCGTTGAGCTCGATGTGCGGGCGCATTATCATCGACCAGTACAAATTGGTGCCCATGGTTTACTCGGAATGGTCTGACGATATCATCAATAGCAACTGCTTTGTACATGTCTGCTGTCATGAAGCCCCGATACGGGATCAAAGGCGTTCTAGCTCCAATCATAATGCCACCCCAAAAGGACACCGATTTTCCGCCTTGCTGAACTGTTCCAGTGGCAGTTCTTTGTCTTTCACGGTCGCCTGGTCTTCTCCAGACACGGACACGTCGGTTATCTGGATGAGTGCTGATTCGGGATTCGTCAACGAAGAGACAGTTTTGCCAAATGTTTTCGTCCTCACCTTCTTCATTTTGCCGAAGTCTAGCCCACTGCAATCTTCGTTGTTGACGTTGCCGGGAATTGAGCGGAGCTCGCCAAGACCTCCGTGCTCGTAATCCAGCCTGGTGCAAGCAATTGCGAACGGTGTGCGTGCTAACTTCAAGCCCAGAGGCGGCCCTGACTTCTGCTTTTATTTTAGTGGCGTTGATTGTTGGATCACGGGCTGCCAGCAATCTAATATAGCGCTTTTGGGCAGCTGTCAAAACAGTTGGGCGACCGCTGCGGGGTCGGTCAGCTAAATTCCCCATTCCGTGATACCTCTGCAACGTAGCCACGACACAGGATTGGGATATAGCAAGTCTGCGTGCTATTACTCTCGTGGTGTATCCTTCTTCCCTCAAAGTTACTATTCTAGCTCGTAAAACCTCTGATAATCCTCTTGGCATTTTTTCAATCACAACTTTCCGCGAAAAATATCTTGAATCGCTTATAATTAACTAAATCAGATTTCTGAATGAGCGTAAGCTAGGACTGAAAGCCTTTTTATATGAAAAAACAATTGAACGGGGTCATTGTTTTATGTTCTAATTTATTTTTGAATAAAGAATCTAAAAAGAAGAAAAAATCATAATATAATCTACAGTAACAAAAAAGATTTCAGTTTTTCGAAGTGATCGCAAACTTTTTTTGATGTGTGTATAATTCGAGCCACCACGCATTTTCAGTATTAAGTGCCCTAAGCTTAAACAATGTTTGACCGATCAAAAACTATTATGCAATTTTGAACCTAGATACTAAACGTCTTTTCTATAAGACCTTGTTGGGAATTTGTATTTGCAAAACTGGAGCAAAACTTTTTCTTCGATGATAACACTATTTTTGCATTCTAGCACTTTACGACAAAAATGCGAGGTGGCTCGAATTGTGTCCGGGAGTATATTTGTAACGCTCATCATATAATTTATATAGAATGTCATCGCTGAATATTAACATAGAATATTAATATAGACAAGACATGTGCCAAACAAAACACTATCAATAGTGATAGAGTCTTGTTATAGTATTGAATTCGGTCAAAGAGTATTGAGTATCATAGTACCGTAGACAGACGTGACAGTCTATACCTATTAGGAATGAGCTAGGCAGATAATATTGAGTGTTAACCAATGGTACATATTTATCTATAGTTGGGGAATTAACGCAAAGCCCCGGGCGGAGTCGCTATTTTTTGCTCAATACATTTCATATTGCTTTGACCCAGAGGCGCTCCGCTTACTTTTTATAATTATTATATTACCAAAAAGTAAAACAAATTAAGTAAAAGATAAAAATACAGTCGAGTTGTTGAAATTATTGATATTATGTACTTTTCCTTAAATGCAAAGATCTTTAGACCATGCAGCCTAGTCTTTTTTATATTTTTAAATTCACCATAGTGACTATTTAATTCATATTATCCCTACTCTGTTATTGTGTAGTCAGAATACTCTGTTGCTCGTTAATC